ATTTTTATGTTTGAACTGGGCAGATTTCATACTGTGTATAAGAGTACTATATTTAACCATAGGGATTTTCCACTGAAACTATCAGTCTGTATGCACATTTGTTTGGCTTTCTGTGTGTTTGTGCTTAAGGAAATAGTGTATCTGATTTCTGTTCCTTTGTAACTAAACTGAAAACACAGAGATAGTCTTCTTGTGACGCTGTTTTTGAAAGCTTTCAATTGTAACACAGGACCAAGAAGTACAGTAACTGCGGTGAAATTAACATAGTTTTTCTTATATTCATAGGCACCAAAATAACTATGGTAAAAATGTTCTAGCCACTTTTTTTTGTAGTGTGATCAGACTAAACATAAAATATGTAACAACACTATAACTATGAAGAAGTGGTAATTTCTTTTCTACTTTCAATTTCAAAAAAAATAAAAAAAAATAATGGTAGGGCTAAACATTTTATAGCCAGACCAAAGGTGAAATATGAAACAACTAGGCCTAGTAACAATACACTTTGTGTTGCCGTGTATACACACAGCTGGCTGGCTGACTGCCCATTTTTGTTGCTTGTGCAACCCCACTGAGACACATTTGTTCTCTGGAAACTGTCTTTGGCTCCCTAAAATGTGACTGGATAGTCCTGGGAAGTAAAAGTGGTGGCCTGATGTCAACTTTATCTCTTACTGACTGCCAGTTGATTTGTAAAAATATAGGCCTAGCACTGTATAATTAATGTGACAGAGGTGTGACAAGAGTCCTTTAAGAACAAGCGACATTTGAACAGTAGATGTAATAACTCCACAGGGAAGCATGCACAGCAAAGGCCTGCCATTCATCAGTAGAAAGATCCCTTGTCGACAATTGTTTTTGCCCATTACTTCCTAGACGATCTCAGAAGGTTGGCTGACCTGGGTCATGACTCCATGTCATGATCTTCCCCTGCTGCACTTTATCTGACATGGAAAGAATGATATTGGGACTTTGCAACAGGTGTTGTGTGATTTGGTGTTATATTTTCACTACGGTAGCATATTAGCCGACTACCTTCACGACTAGAGTAACATGCTTACTGTTGGTTCCTTGGACATGTAATCGTAGTCCAAAACTATATTTAATTGCCTGGCTTTGCCAGGAATAATGACAGAAAATGTACCTTATCTTTGTCTCCATCCGCTGCCATTATCTTTAGTCATTGCACCCAAGTGCATCCCCTTTAAAACTAACACCAGTATTAAACCATTTGGGAGACAGACAAATGTATTGTCTCAGGCATATATAGATATATGGTTTCGAGGAGGATAACAAAGAAATATAATTTTTAAAAATTACCTTTTTGAGGGAAGTAATGGGGTAAATATTTAAAAGGCTATAACTCCAGTGAAAGTTTACTTTTACTGATTGTCGCAATAAATAAAGAAATGCACAATAACCTGGACTGTCAGTTAGTTAGTTAGTTAGTTGGGTTATCCTCATTGCACTCCGGACATGTCCATAGGTGCTCAGATCCTCCCCTCAGTATGAGCCCCAACGTCCGATGGCTAATAGTACTGTCAGTGTGATTGTTAAATTAAACATTGTAGTCATAATAACATAAAAATGTAACCCATGTATTTAGAGAAGTTAACACTTCATTTATAATAAACACAAAAAAATACGGAAAGGATTTGATTTATAGTATAGATGAGTTAACCCTTAGTTGCTCCATTCCTGTGCCTAGGAAAACCACATAGGATGTCCATCACTGTCCTTTGTGAAAAAAATTGACACAGACTGCGGTCTTAGCAAATCTAACGGTGTATTGCACAAGAAATGCAAAATGCTTGAGGCAAAGTTACAAGTGCCAACACAAATGGTCTGACACTAGGAATGCAGTTCATTGTTGATGGAAGCAGATTAGTAGCTGCACACACAATTAATTGCTTTAGGCACTGCAAGTTCTGTTGCAGCCGGCTGCTCACCGGTGTACTCAATGAGGTGGCATGATAGCGCCGTGGTTAGACCCTTGTTTGTTGACCAGAGATTCTTGGGTTTAAATCCACATCAAGGGGGATTTCTGAAGTTTCTAAAGCTTCCAGGTCAACAATACCAGGGGTCCTAGAAGCATCCCGATAGGTAGAGGTGGCTTGTTGGTCGAAACAAATTTGGGTTTAGCACCCGAGGTAATTTTTTTTTTCTTTCTAGAACAAAAGTGGGCAGGTACTGAACACAAATTGTTTTAATACTGTGCTGGTACTCACAAAGTATCTATTACAGCAGAACTTAACAAATGATGTCTGAAACAAGGTACAGGTACTGTGTACCTTTGTGTTCCGTCAGAAGTTAAAAAAAAACCTGGCTAGCAGCATACGCCCGATTGGCTAATGCCATGAAGAGGGCGATTGGCTTTTTCATAATACAGTGTCCTGGCACAAAGTGTATGTAGCGTTGTTTTATCCGGTGACTTTTCTGATTTATCTTTACTTATTCACATTATGCCCCATATATTCATTGTTGCTTTTAACTCAGAGCTTAAGCTGCTTCTTGCTGTTTTTGTTTTCTTTTAGGTTTTCATTTGCTAATTCCTAAAGATCATCTCTGTTGCTACGTTTGTTGTCAGTACAGACAAATTGTACTTTTACTATTCTGATTATAATGTTCACATATTTTTCTTTGTATTGAATGTCATTCTGTAAACAATAAAAGATATGTATTGATCAATCAGTCAGTCAGCAGTTGTTATATATACACATGAGTTATGAGTTGGATTAACTTTGGGACACTAAATACATCTACAGGTGTTCAAATTTCCTCCTAAATATATACTTAATTTTCTGTACAGCCAATGTAGAAGATAACCACTGTTTTTATTTTTAAGCCAAAATTAGGAAATAAAAATTGTAAACACATTCTGTGTATAAGACAACTCCAAATGAAAACTTGTTTAAACTTGTGGAAAACATCTTGTCTTGTACATAGACAAATTAGTTCATCATTGTCCTGTAGGTTATTCATGCCCGCTGTATGAGGATTGATCAGATTTATCATAATCTAGTGCAGCGGTTCTCAAACTGGGTTCAAATGTACCCAGTTTTTAGTATCCAATCACTTTGCTGCTGTTGAAGAGGGAGGCGGAGCTAATGTAAGTTTGTGCTGAATCTGTGATTAGAATCTTTACCCAGACATGAACAGTGTTTTGTAGTTTGAGGAAACCAGGAAGGAAACGGGAGTAACGGGATGGAGGGGAGAATGATTTGTCGAAAGAATGAGAGTTGAGCGTCTGAGAAAACGTCAAATACATATATACAGCTTCAATGGTCCTGAAATCCCAGGCTGTGGACAACTTGTCATCACGCAGGCGGAGCTTGCTAGTCACACTCGCCTGTTACTCAGTATTGTAGAGGATTGTCCATACCATGTGTGTACAACAACTCAAGACAAAGTCTATACCATGTGTGTACAACAACTCAAGACAAAGTCTATACCATGTGTGTACAACAACTCAAGACAAAGTCTATACCATGTGTGTACAACAACTCAAGGCAAAGACACCATTTTTTGAGACCATGACAACAAAACATATGATAATAGAGCATTAACAAGATTACAGACAGATATTGCAAAAAATGTCTCACGCACAAACATGCACTCTCAAGACTTCTTATGTGTGTAAATTCACAGGCACAAGTAATTTCTGTGTTGCCAATGTTATTGTTTTTTGTACTTGCTTCTAATCCGCCCTGCTTCTTACATCTTCTTCTACTTCTTTTACTTCCTCTTTTTCTCACTCTTCTTTCTCCTCTTCTTCTTCCTTTTCCTCTTCTTCTTCATCATCCTCTTTTTCCTCTTCTTCCTTCTCTTCTTCTTCCTTGTCTTCTTCCTCCTCTTCTTTTTCTTCTTCCTTCTTCCTCTTTTTCTTCCTCCCTCTTCTTTCTCTTCTTCTTCATATTCTTCTCCTCGTTGAAACCCTCCTTCTTTTTATAGTCCTCTTTTTTCCCACCCTTTTTTTTCTGTTCCGTTTCTTGACCCCCCCCCCCCCCCCCCCCTCCCCCGGGTATTTATTACTTATGAATCTGACTCACATTTCTAATTAGAAAAATAAAACGTCCTCTTCTTGTGCCTTCGTCATGACCACTTTCTCATTTTGAAATGTATTTTGAGCTTTAAAGTCGCATTACTAAATAAACCATGCAGTTCTTAGCATTTGATCTTCCTGGTGCTCTTGATCAAATCTGTGGTGTGAGACGCACAGAAAACTCAGTATCAGATGTGCAGATCTTCGTCTTCTGTGAGTCCAGCCCATTCGGTTATCTTCACCGCTGCAGCCTCTTCTGTTTTCTCTTGGTTGTTACCGCAAACAATTACTTGTACATTCAAATATGTCCCTATAGTTTATATTTCTTCAGCCTAAAACAACAGCCTCAGGTCGAGTGCAGTCAGGGACTCGTGTGTTGACTGTGAGGTTTGGTATATGCCACCAAATATTTGTCGCTAGCAGAAAACATTTATGATACGGTCGAGAAGTCGGGCACAACTATTAAATCTGTAACTCAGTAAGTGTCTTTTTTTTTTCTTTTCCAGTTTGGCATGCAACCTGTTATTAATTATGCCCTTGTAAGAAAATATATAGTTCCCTTTTTTTTTTTTTTTTTTTTTTTTTTTTTTTTTTTAACTTATTTGCGATATATGGTAAAAAAACAGATTCAAAGCGTGCAATTGAGATGGACAGTTTATAATTTTCAGTGAATCCTCAGTTACAGACAAATGTAATCTAGGATTTCAGAGTAAATGTTTGGTAAACATTCTGAATGAAAAATAAAGCAGAAAAAGAAGCAGAGGAAGAAAAAAGAAGATGATAATGTTGAAGAAGAATGAGGAGGAGACAAAGAAGATTGAAAGAGGATGGAGTAGAACAGAAATGGATAGAGTGAGAAGATAAAGTGGACGAGATTAATCAGGAGCGAAGAAAAAGAGAAAGAGGCAGAAAAAGATCTACTCATTAAACGTTGTTACCGTAACAAAACAATTTCACATTATTTATAATACATTGGCCCTCTGCCTTTCTCTTCAAACGGATGCCACAGCTTGTTGAAAATAGGATGCTGTGACCTGACACATTTAGGCTTATCACTGGGGCTCCATTTCCCATTGACACATGCTGCTCCTTTGGGGCCCACCAGCTTATGGTCCTTGCTACATCGGTACTCTAAGCGGTCACCGTGTTTGATGGTGATGATGTAATCGCTGAACTGAAACTTTCCATGGGTCCCCAATTTCAGGATTTCTCCATTGTCTAGTCTACCTGGGTTGGGGCAGAAATCTGTCAGGAAAATGTCACAAAAATAACAATTATATTCTGGGCTGTAGTTATTATAATCTCACTACAATAATGCTAAACTAAGGACACTTACCACCTATTAGATACGAGAATAATAACTTATCATGCAAAACATAAACAGCGGAACTGGAGTGAGTGGAACCCCAGACAAAGAAACGGTAGAGAGATAATATTCAAACAATATTTCTTCGTTTGACAATTCAAATAATGCGGACGTAAACAATACAATGGATAATTTATTGCCAGACTTATTTGTGTGACTATCACGTGACTATCGGGCACTTCCTGAGGGTAGACAATCATGTTAGGTGGCTGCATGTCTCGAGGCATGACATCCAATTCGAGTGCTGGAGGTCCCGGGTGCAGGCTGGGATTTTGTCACGTGGACTTCTTGTAATTTTCCCTGGTCTCTGGCTAGTGAGATCGGACACCTTGCGCACGTAAAAAAATCCTTTGGCAGAATGAAATCGAAAAAATTAGCCTAACGGCGCTGCCGAGCCAAAATTTGGAGTCAAAAACCTACCTCAAGTATTTCAGGATCCTCGCCGGTGCTACGTAGTTCGTGCACTGCACTGCGCTGAGATTCTTTAATTTTCAGGCTTGAATTAGAAGTAGAACGAAGCACTTATGGGTTACTACACTTGTGCCATGATATTGATCCGTTGTTTAAAACTAAAACTAGACAATCATGTGTCTTAGATAGACCACTTGAATTTCATTAGTAATTTATTCAGGTGTGTGTGCGTGTTTATTTGTTGATGTAAGTCTAAAGAAATGAACCTGATCAGGTCCAGCGAAATATGAGTGGCAATAAATTGTGCAATGGTTTGTTTATTTTCGCATTATTTAACGAGAGATAATGTAGAGGTAGACCTTTATCATCGGCGACCGGGTCGTCCATTGGCTTGCTGGTAGACGACTTCATCACCTGTCGGGAGAGTATTTGGGTCTGTCTCATCTGATCGCATCAACACCGCAGAAGTGGCGTGCAATGGTAATAGCCATTTTATACGATATACACAACCTAGTCACAATTATAACCTAAAGCTCCCGCTTCAGGGATGCTGCTGATAGCTGATGTCGAAGAATGTAATTGATGAAACTAAACTCATCCAGAGGAGCCAAATATATAGCCCTAGTAGGACACCAACATGTTTTAGAGGTCTTCAAGGTCGCTCACCAACCATAAGTGTACAAAAATAACTGATATAATGACTCGTAGACGTCAATAATCCCCAGTCACGCAGAGTGCGTTGTTTGCGATACCAAAATTTAAGGGCTGAAAATCTTCATGAAAAATAAAAAGCTGACAAAGAAATAAACGGTGGAGTGTGATATTGTCCCCGTATCTGTTGAACTGATCAACAATGGAGTGTGATATTGTCCCCGTATCTGTTGAACTCATCAACAGTGGAGTGTGATATTGTCCCCGTATCTGTTGAACTCATCAACAGTGGAGTGTGATATTGTCCCCGTATCTGTTGAACTCATCAACAGTGGAGTGTGATATTGTCCCCGTATCTGTTGAACTCATCAACAGTAGAGTGTCATATTGTCCCCGTATCTGTTGAACTCATCAACAGTGGAGTGTCATATTGTCCTCGTGTCTGTTGAACTCATCAACAGTGGAGTGTCATATTGTCCCCGTATCTGTTGAACTCATCAACAGTGGAGTGTGATATTGTCCCCGTATCTGTTGAACTCATCAACAATGGAGTGTGATATTGTCCCCGTATCTGTTGAACTCATCAACAGTGGAGTGTGATATTGTCCCCGTAACTGTTGAACTCATCAACAGCGGAGTGTGATATTGTCCCCGTATCTGTTCAACTCATCAACAGTGGAGTGTGATATTGTCCCCGTATCTGTTGAACTCATCAACAGTAGAGTGTCATATTGTCCCCGTATCTGTTGAACTCATCAACAGTGGAGTGTCATATTGTCCTCGTATCTGTTGAACTCATCAACAGTGGAGTGTCATATTGTCCCCGTATCTGTTGAACTCATCAACAGTGGAGTGTCATATTATCCCCGTATCTGTTGAACTCATCAACAGTGGAGTGTGATATTGTCCCCGTATCTGTTGAACTCATTAACAGTGGAGTGTCATATTGTCCCCGTATCTGTTGAACTCATCAACAGTGGAGTGTGATATTGTCCCCGTATCTGTTGAACTCATCAACAGTGGAGTGTCATATTGTCCCCGTATCTGTTGAACTCATCAACAGTGGAGTGTCATATTGTCCTCGTATCTGTTGAACTCATCAACAGTGGAGTGTGATATTGTCCCCGTATCTGTTGAACTCATCAACAGTGGAGTGTCATATTGTCCCCGTATCTGCTGAACTCATCAACAGTGGAGTGTCATATTGTCCCCGTATCTGTTGAACTCATCAACAGTGGAGTGTCATATTGTCCCCGTTTCTGTTGAACTCATCAACAGTGGAGTGTGATATTGCCTCCGTATCTGTTGAACTCATCAACAGTAGTGTGTGATATTGTCCCCGTATCTGTTGAACTCATCAACAGTGGAGTGTCATATTGTCCCCGTATCTGTTGAACTCATCAACAGTGGAGTGTCATATTGTCCCCGTTTCTGTTGAACTCATCAACAGTGGAGTGTGATATTGTCCCCGTATCTGTTGAACTCATCAACAGTGGAGTGTGATATTGTCCCCGTATCTGTTGAACTCATCAACAGTGGAGTGTGATATTGTCCCCGTATCTGCTGAACACATCAACAGTAGAGTGTCATATTGTCCCCGTATCTGTTGAACTCATCAACAGTGGAGTGTCATATTGTCCCCGTTTCTGTTGAACTCATCAACAGTGGAGTGTGATATTGTCCCCGTATCTGTTGAACTTATCAACAGTGGAGTGTGATATTGTCCCCGTATCTGTTGAACTCATCAACAGTGGAGTGTGAAATTGTCCCCGTATCTGTTGAACTCATCAACAGTGGAGTGTGATATTGTCCCCCTATCTGTTGAACTCATCAACAGTGGCGTGTGAAATTGTCCCCGTATCTGTTGAACTCATCAACAGTGGAGTGTGAAATTGTCCCCGTATCTGTTGAACTCATCAACAGTGGAGTGTCATATTGTCCCCGTATCTGTTGAACTCATCAACAGTGGAGTGTCATATTGTCCCCGTATCTGTTGAACTCACCAACAGTGGAGTGTCATATTGTCCCCGTATCTGTTGAACTCACCAACAGTGGAGTGTCATATTGTCCCTGTATCTGTTGAACTCATCAACAGACATTATTTTTAAACAAACAGAAGAAACGCTGACATGCGAAATGTGCGGCCTTCTTGTGGATTTGTAAACCGAGTTGTTGTGATCTCGCATTAGGAATATGTTAATTTATTCTTGCATCTGATTCCGTGAGAGGGATAAAAGAAAAATATCAAGTCCCAACATTAGTGAAGTCCCAACATCAGTGAAGTTCCAACATCAGCCAAGTCCCAACATCAGCCTAGTCCCAACATCAGCCAAGTCCTAACATCAGTGAAGTCCCAACATCATGAAGTCCCAACATCAGCCAAGTCCCAACATCAGCCTAGTTCAAATCATCAAGTTGTTTTGTGGGCGTCCACTGAATTCCAGTCCTGAAATAACGATCCGTTTTCACGCCTTTATTCGCATTGGGCAAATGGAAAGAGCGCCCATATTTTTACCGACCAATCAGCACTGGGTGGGTAATGTGATCAGCATTACGCCGGCCATCTCAACTTCATCAGGACAGCCATCCTGGTACCCATTTTAGGCTGGGTCGACCTGCGACGCTCCATACCATGATAAAAATCTACACAGCCAGCAGTGGGTTTCAATCACGGTGCGTTGGAGTTACTAGTCGGACCTGCTGTTTTCACAATCCAGTCTATGGCCAGGTAAAAAGAGACGCCTCCAGCCAATGCGATGTGCAGCTAAGTGGATCCTTTCCTCTCCAATGAAACGCCGTGGTGTAGCCACTAGAGGCTGGACGGCCGATCTGAGGGTCATGGGTTTAAATCCCCTCAATGCCGGATTGTCTAACATGCCCTTGTCTCCCAGTTCCACGCAGCCTTCCATGAGCACCAGGTAAAGCCCTGGAAAGTCAAGCTGCCAGGTGTGATGCCGACAACACCCACCGAGTGCCGATTGGTCTATAAAAGAAACATTTAACCCTATATGCCCAAAACACTTGAAGGCGTGCGTGGAAACGTGTCTCAAAGTTTAACTTTGAACTAAAAAAAAAAATGTGAACTCTAAACCTTGAACTCACTTTCTTCACAACGCGGCTGCATCCCAACCCAAGCTCCGAACTCACATGTCATATACTGGTGAGAGTCCACAAGTCGGTAGCCGGCGATGCAGAAGTATCGGGCTCGACTCCCATGAGCCAGGTTAAAGAAAACCCTGTGTCCATCTGCAATCTGTGGTGGAGGGGTGTTGCACGGAGCTGCGGCCGATCGAGAATAAGTAATATAAATTATGCATTTTTGAATTCACAATAGTTTGTAAAGGAAGACCTTTTTCCACGCCTTTCAGGCGTATTGGGTATATAGGACTGAACCTCTATTCTGTAGACCAAACGGCACTTGGTGGCTAATGTGGTCAGCATTACGCCGGCTGCCTTTATTTCCCAAGACTGTACCTATTACCCACTCAAGGCTGGGTCAACCTGGGAGCCAAGGTCATTTTTGAAAAAAGTCCGGCCCCTGACAGGAACCGAACCCACGACTTTCCGATCCGCAGGCGAGCGTCTAGCAGCTAGACCACCGCGGCTCCCAATAGTTTATAATAGCGTCTTGTAAACATTCTGAGGTTTATCATCAGAGTCGTAGAGAAACTTCATGGGGCCGTAACCTATATAAAACCTCGAGGCCCCTACCTTTTTAAGTCATCAGCGACCGGGAGGCCTATTGGCTCGCCGGTAGACAACTTCGTCGCCGGTCGAGAGAGTATTTGGGTCTGTCTCCGGTGATGGCATTAACACTGCAGGAGATCTTTTCAGAGCTACTTGGTGGCGAGTATTGCTAAGCCATTTTATGAGGCACATAACCTAGTCACAATTATAACCTAAGCTCCCTTTTCGGGAATACTGGTTGACCATTTGTTTTTGTTTTTCCCGCAAAGTCAGCCAAAGACCGTTTTACATTTTTTTCAGCTAATTGAGAAAACTGTAGAATATATTCGCCTTTTAAATATATGGAAAATCTAAATATATTGTCGTTTAATTTGTTTTTAAAGACAGAAATAATTAATTTGTTGGCAAAATCAGATAAATTATATTTTATAATCATGCAAGTCAAAATAAATAAATCCTGCGATTATATAGTCTAAATATTAATATTAGAACTTTTTTGGGGAGTGGGTGGAAAGGGGGGAGGGGAGGGGGTGGGGTGTTGGTGTTGGGGGGGGGGGGGTAAACTATATTCAAAGCAAATTGCATTTGTACAAATAATTAGAATTTGTTAGACACTTGCAGATTGCAGGCTCTAAGATCAATGGTGTTGTCTATTTTCTGATAAGTGTGTGAGTGTTGGACTCTCACTGTGGAAACAGAATGGAGGAGTCATGCTTTCTAGTGTAAATGCTACAGACGCATTTTACAAATGATGCTGGACAAGAGAGATGATGCTGGACAAGAGATCTGATGCTGGACAAGAGAGATGATGCTGGACAAGAGAGATGATGCTGGACAAGAGAGATAATACTGGACAAGAGATATGATGCTGGACAAGAGAAATGATGCTGGACAAGAGAGATGATGCTGGACAAGAGAAATGATGCTGGACAAGAGAAATGATGCTGGACAAGAGAGATGATGTTGGACAAGAGATCTGAAGCTGGACAAGAGAGATGATGCTGGACAAGAGAGATGATGTTGGACAAGAGGTATGATGCTGGACAAGAGAAATGATGTTGGACAAGAGATATGATGCTGGACAAGAGAGATGATGTTGGACAAGAGAGATGATGCTGGACAAAAGAGATGATGCTGGACAAGAGAAATGATGCTGGACAAGAGAAATAATGCTGGACAAGAGAGATGATGCTGGACAAGAGAAATCATGCTGGACAAAAGAAATGATGCTGGACAAGAGATCTGATGCTGGACAAGAGAAATGATGATGGACAAGAGAGATGATGCTGGATAGGCCGAAACGAGGGCATGGAGGGATATCATCAAGAAAGCTGTTCCAGGCAACTATAGATCGTGAACTGTGGAAACGCATGAGCGCCTACGCCAGTTGGCAGGGCACATAATAATGATGATGCTGACTGTTTGCTTTGAATCAATGTCTTTTTATCCTTTTTGTTTTGTTTCTCTAGAGATCTCTGGGACAGGACCGTCTGTTCACTTCGTATAAAGTACTTTCCAGTGTTTGTGATATTTCTACGGTCCATTTTCTGCCTGGTCAACCCCTGGACTCTTTAAACTTTTTACGAGCACCAAGTAAGCAACTGTCACATTCATGCAGCAAGCGAGGCGAAATGAAAACTAAATATGTGTTTACATTTAACAAATTATTTTAAGGACATGATTTTTGTCAGGCTGCTTGTCAAATTTCAACAACATACCCAAACCGATGTTTAAAGTTGGTCGCACCTTCAGAAACGGACTATAGACACTTACCAGGAACACACCTGGGGATAATGGACCAGGTCCCGTTGTCACAGATGACGGGCCTGGAGTCGTTGAGCACCAGCCCATGAAGGCACACCAGCTCCACTACAAAGCCGTGGTCAACCCAGACTCCTTCACGTCCGTTAGTGATGGTTCCATTCATGACAGAAGGGATCTGACACTGTCCTGAAGATGAAAAAAGAACATGTAGAAGATGTCACTTGGATCTCACGATGTGAGACAGGATAGTTTTATCTCCAGAACTGCTGGTGTGCCGGGAAACAAGCAAGCAGACAGACTTGGTGGTGAACTATTGTATAACAAGCCAAAGGTTGTGAAGGCCCTTTCAGCGCGAGTGAACAGTGAGGAGGCACACATATATATATCATTACGGTCTGGGGAGAAAGGCGCCACAAGGAATTACCAGGGGATCTGATCGACGCTCAACAATCAAAAGAAAGGCGAGACGGGTAATGGTGCCATCGGAATTGGAACTCTTCACTTGCTGCTGAAGATCGGGACGGGGCGCTTATGGGCGTATCCCGAGTACCGTGATTCAAGATTCGTCTGGTAAAGAATAGCAAGGTGCTTGCACTCACTAAAAAGTGTCTATTACGCTAGGATGTATGAAATATGTACTGTTGCTAAGTACCGACAGGAGCAGCAGTGATGTAGCGGCTAGTCTCTCTCCTGGCTAAGTACCGACAGGAACTTCAGTGATGTAGCGGCTAGTCTCTCTCCTGGCTAAGTACCGACAGGAGCAGCAGTGATGTAGCGGCTAGTCTCTCTCCTGTCTAAGTACCGACAGGAGCAGCAGTGATGTAGCGGCTAGTCTCTCTCCTGGCTAAGTACCGACAGGAGCAGCAGTGGTGTAGCGGTTAGTCTCTCTCCTGGCTAAATACCGACAGGAGCCGCAGTGATGTAACGGCTAGTCTCTCTCCTAGCTTAGTACTGACAGGAGCCGCAGTGATGTAACGGCTAGTCTCTCTCCTAGCTAAGTACTGACAGGAGCCGCAGTGGTGTAGCGGCTAGTCTCTCTCCTGGCTAAGTACCGACAGGAGCCGCAGTGATGTAACGGCTAGTCTCTCTCCTAGCTAAGTACTGACAGGAGCCGCAGTGGTGTAGCGGCTAGTCTCTCTGCTGGCTAAGTACCGACAGGAGCCACAGTGATGTAGCGGCTAGTCTTTCTGCTGGCTAAGTACCGACAGGAGCCGTAGTGGTGTAGCGGTTAGTCTCTCTCCTGGATAAGTACCGACAGGAGCCACAGTGATGTAGCGGCTAGTCTTTCTGCTGGCTAAGTACCGACAGGAGCCACATTGATGTAGCGGCTAGTCTCTCTGCTGGCTAAGTACCGACAGGAGCCACAGTGATGTAGCGGCTAGTCTTTCTGCTGGCTAAGTACCGACAGGAGCCGTAGTGGTGTAGCGGTTAGTCTCTCTCCTGGCTAAAAACCGACAGGAGCCGCAGTGATGTAACGGCTAGTCTCTCTCCTAGCTAAGTACTGACAGGAGCCGCAGTGATGTAACGGCTAGTCTCTCTCCTAGCTAAGTACTGACAGGAGCCGCAGTGGTGTAGCGGCTAGTCTCTCTCCTGGCTAAGTACCGACAGGAGCCGCAGTGATGTAACGGCTAGTCTCTCTCCTAGCTAAGTACTGACAGGAGCCGCAGTTATGTAACGGCTAGTCTCTCTCCCGGCTAAGTACCGACAGGAGCCGCAGTCATGTAGCGGCTAGTCTCTCCTGGCTAATTACCGACAGGAGCCGCAGTGATGTAACGGCTAGTCTCTCTCCTGGCTAAGTACCGACAGGAACTTCAGTGATGTAGCGGCTAGTCTCTCTCCTGGCTAAGTACCGACAGGAACTTCAGTGATGTAGCGGCTAGTCTATCTCCTGGTTAAGTACCGACAGGAGCCGCAGTGGTGTAGCGGCTAGTCTCTCTCCTGGCTAAGTACCGACAGGAGCCGCAGTGATGTAGCGGCTAATCTATCTCCTGGCTAAGTACCGACAAGAGCCGCAGTGATGTAGCGGCTAGTCTCTCTCCTGGCTAAGTACCGACAGGAGCCTCAGTGATGTAGCGGCTAGTCTCTCTCCTGGCTAAGTACCGACAAGAGCCGCAGTGATGTAGCGGCTAGTCTATCTCCTGGCTAAGTACCGACAGGAACTTCAGTGATGTAGCGGCTAGTCTCTCTCCTGGCTAAGTACCGACAGGAACTTATGTGATGTAGCGGTTAGTCTCTCTCCTGGCTAAGTACCGACAGGAGCCGCAGTGGTGTAGCGGTTAGTCTCTCTCCTGGCTAAGTACCGACAGGAGCCGCCGTTGTCTAGCGTCTGCGTTGGTTTCGACAGTAGTATCCAGAAGCCAACCGCCCAGAAAGCAATGGCAAACTACTGGACGTAAATGTGCCTAGAAAAATCAAAACAGCCAAATAAAATGCTGGGGTTGGTTCGCTGTAAAGGATACGCAACTAACTTTAAATGTATCTGTATTTATTTAAAACGCAACTTTGCATATCACCAGAGAAAACACCCTGCTAGCCAACCTTACCCAAACACTGCGGTAATCCGTGTGACCACTGTCCATTTTCCAGGCACTGAGTTGAGAAGTAGGTACCATAAAATTTGGTCCTGATGTTACATCTGTTGACATAAACATCATGAATGAAACAGCTGAAACATGTTACATCTGTGGACATAAACATCATGAATGAAACAGCTGAAACATGTTACATCTGTGGACATTAACATCATGAATGAAACAGCTGAAACATGTTACATCTGTGGACATAAACATCATGAATGAAACAGCTGAAAAATGCACAGTGAATAAAAGTTTGCCCTTGTAAGTATGTATGCATGTATCGACGTATGTAAGTATAACTATGTACGTCTGTCAGTCTGTATGTCTCTAGGTATATTGGTATATCCCTACTGATCAAGCTAAATGTTTACAAAGCTGTAATTCTTGCAGTACTTCTATACGCTTGCAAAAAGTGGACTGTGTATCAGCGCCATACCAAAAAAGTTGAATGTTTCATATAACCTGTCTCAGAAAGCTGCTCAAAATCGACAACATCAAAGACAGTCAACGCCTTCACGACATGACAATAGCCAGTGACAGCCAACGTGCAATAGATCGCATTATATTCCTCCCCACGGCGCTTACAGGCAAAAGTGGTTTATGATGACGGTAATGATGATAATGACTGATTTTCACCTCTTCTTTCTTGGTCTGAATATTTTCTCTACAGTATTTCAACCAATCTGGTGCCGTCTTGGAATGTGCTGTTCACCAAAACAGTCTTGCGAATTAATGTTTTCCTAGTAAGTAAAGGACTCCATTTTTTACGGCTTCATGCTTATTGGGTATATAGGGCTATATCTAATTGCTGCAGACCAACCGGCACTGTATGGGTGATATGGTAAGCATCATGCCGGTCGCCTTTACTTCCTAGGATTGTACCTGGTACCCATTTAAATCTGATTCGACCTAGGAGTCAAGGTCATTGTTGAAGAAAGTCCGTCAGGACTCGAACCCACTACCTTCCTATCCGAAGGAAAGCGACTAGCCGCTACACTACGATGGTTCCCACGTCCAAATAGCAGCAATATATTTTCCTGAATTCATTTTGGCGAAAAGGTTAATGTAAAGTTGAAGGAATAACTCCAGTTATCTCCCCCTTTTTTAGTCACTTCCTTTTTTCTTTTTCAACAAAAACACAGAGAGTCAAAACGTGTCGTGTCTTTCCCCTCAGTTGACCCGTTATATAATATAGACCGTGTTTAGACCTGACCGCCTTGTTGTATCTTCACTTTCATCAATGTGGAATGTCTTTATGTGCATCAATGTGCAGTATCTTTACTATTATCAATGTGGAATTACTGTATGTGCAATATTGTGCATTATCTTTACTTTCATCGATGTGGAATTACTTTATGTGCAAAATTGTGCAGTATCTTTACCTTCATCAATGTGGAATTACTGTATGTGCAATTTGTGCAGTATCTTTACCTTCATCAATGTGGAATTACTTTATGTGCAATATTGTGCAGTATCTTTACCTTCATCAATGTGGAATTACTGTATGTGCAATATTGTGCAGTATCTTTACCTTCATCAATGTGGAATTACTGTATGTGCAATATTGTGCTGTATGTTAACTTTCAATATTGTGGAATGTCTTTATTTTCATCAATGTGCAATATCTTTTTTTTTTCCAGTAAATGTGTAATGATTTTATTGTCATCAATGTGGAATGTCTTTACTTTCAACAATTTTTAATGATTTTATTGTCATCAATGTGGAATGTCTTTACTTTCAACAATGTGTAATGATTTTATTGCCATCAATGTGGAATGTCTTTACTTTCAACAATGTGTAATGATTTTATTGTCATCAATGTGGAATGTCTTTACTTTCAACAATGTGTAATGATTTTATTGCCATCAATGTGGAATGTCTTTACTTTCAACAATGTGTATATGGTGTTAACCTCATATTTTTATCCAGCAATCAGCGTTTTATTGATGATGTAGACAGTATGGCAATGGCCTCCTTTACTTCCCGGGACATTTTCTCATACCGATTCAGGTCTACGGTCACATAGAAACTCAGGTCACTAGTATGAATCCGCTACCATAGGGATTTGAAGCTACGCCATAAGATGTGCAGCCTAGAGCTCTACCCTAAGCGCTACAGTGGCTCCTCTGTGTAATTATTAAAACAAACTAAAACGATATCAACCAGATGAGAAGCTGAAAAAGTTAGCTTCACGCTGTCACAATCACAAACAACAAGCGAGCGCTGCGGCTAGAAAAGCTTCCTCAGCCTGTAGCATGAAAGAATATTATGACAAGATATCAAACTAAAAAAAAGTAGAACTAGTTAGCTTTACATTATCACAATCATAGATGACAAGTAAACGTTGCGAACAGAAATCATTCATCAGCACATGACATGAATTGACAATGTTACCTTTACAATTAGGAGTACACGACATTTCCAGTGCACAATTATATAAAACATGCAGATTATGACTATATTTACCTGAAGAAAATGACAGACCCCACGCCAGTGCTGTGTCCGTCAAGATAGCCATTCCAAAGAGGTCCAGGAAATCCACAGTTGATTTCTGGATACATTTACAAATCGTTACTACAAACTATTTCAGAAGTCCACCCACACTTAGCAATTTTTAAATAACTGCGTACCGCGTCATGAGAGTTGTGTAGTTCGAAATGTGAAAACATGTCAGCTTGAACCAAAGTCAGTTTTTTCACTGCTAGTTGAATTTTTGTTATTATTATGAATAATATTCTTATTTTTTATTAATATTATTATATTTTTATTATTATTATTTGTTTGTTTAATGTTAAAAATGAGAAAATAGTTTTTGTGAAGCCCAACACGCAAAAGGTCTTCCAGTATATAAAGAAGCATGTCCAATCGTGTGGACACCTGCTGTGGATAGTTACAGCTTCTGTAAATGAAGGGTGTAAGGTGCCAAGTGCTTCTTTACACAAAATATGCAGCACTGGAGCAGAACTATTTACACAAACTCTAAAGTTTACGAAACAAATGTTGTCGCTTTACAATGTGCAGGGACTTACAGAACACGGTTGTTTGATCTAATACAAGCACATTCAGGCAGAAAGCCTCACTTGTTGTGACGGCAAACATTTATTGTAGAAACCGTAACCAGTTATTTAAAGATACAATTTTATTTTTACGGTCATCGAGTGCCCTGCCATTTTGCGAAACTTCATGTCGCAAAAGCAACTGTTACAGGGAAATAATACCAGCAGGAGAAGTCATTTTTGTGGCGAAAGGTAAGATGGTGCAACTGATCATGCAAGAAAACACAGTTGACTAAGTGGGGTACACATTTAGTGCAATTAAGTCTGTTCTTTCGCTTTTAAACAATCTTCAAGACATTCAAATTTAGAAGTTAAAAATGGTAGGTTAGGCGGCTACCCTGCAATAGGTTTTTATTCCAAATGTATTTTTGTTTTTCATATCTTATTGTCACCTGTTGATAGTCTTGCACAAAGCTCCACTCCGCAACACCATGGACAACTTACAAGGATTTCCGAAAGCACTGCAATTGTGAGCTGAACAACGCAGTTAGTCTAAATACGAATGCATCACCTTCAAAGCGAGACACAAACAGCTGAATCACTTCGCTTAGCAGATCCCACCCACTCCCTGTAACCAGATAACTGTACCTTCACAGAATGTTTCATGACCACTCCATGTGCCGTCAGACTGACAGGTCCGCTCTAACGACCCGACCACTCTGTATCCATTGTTGCAGACAAATCTCACTACAGCTCCGTAGTCGGTTCCAGAGCCGATCATTGTGCCATGGACGGGAGGTCCCAGTTCGCCACAGTGTACGGCTGCAAAGAGACATTGGCAACATTAGTTTAGGGTATGAGCGCCGAGAAACAGGTTTTAAGCAGCAGATTCCTATCAATACTGTGCTATCAGTGCCAGACTTGGTCATTACCAAAGGGTAACCTACGTAAAATTACCACCTGTGAAATGAGGTGTCCGAGAAAAGCCGCCAACTTAACAACCTGAGACGTAATGAGAAATGATACTAACAGACAAACCGGAAACATCATCATCATGTACCAAATGAGAAATTAAAGATCACAAGGTTTGGCAGTCTAGGTACAATACCAACACAGGCGCTACAGGTGACATCATGTGACGTGAAAGCAAGAGGTCGCCATAGGTGACATGGATTGATGACATTAAAAAGCGACTCTTCAGTTTCTCACGTTGTGACGACCTACAACAATACAAGTATTTGTGTTGCTACTTCATAACTTTAATGAATATGTGTTTTCCGATGGTCTAGACAGCCGCTGTGAAACGGTCGTTCGACGCCAAAGAGGTTCGCTACCCACAGGTTGACCGTTTGACATCAACTTAGTACAGATTTATGCCCCAACAGCAGATTAGTTCAGAGGAAGATATTGACGCATTTTATGACGAGTTAGACATGGCTGTTGATCAATGCAAAAATTGTGAAGTAACAATGGTACTTGGAGATTTCAACGCGAAAATAGGAAGTGAAAAAGTGTACGGAATAACGGGTGGCTATGGCCTAGGAGAAAAGAATGTGAGAGGTGACAGATTAATAGCATGGGCTGAGTCACGCAGCATGATAATAGGTAACACCTGGTTTAAACACCATCCTCGAAGATTGTGGACTTGGAAAAGTCCTGGTGATAATGTCCGCAATCAGATTGATTATATTTTTATTTCAAGAAGATTCAGGAGCAGCTTAGTTGGAGCAAAAACTAGACCTGGAGCAGACTGCGTTACCGGTATAATGCAATGGAAATTATACAGACTATTGATGAACAGTGGGATATGTTGCGTGAGTCAGTTCAGCAGACATCTATAGAGACAATCTCACCAACCCATAGAGCTGCAAAAAAAAAAAATGGATGTCAACCGAAATTCTGCAGTTGATGGATGAAAGAAGAAAGAAAAAGAATGATAAAGAAGAATTCTCTAGAATACAAAAAGAAATAGTGAACAAATGCAAAGTGGCTAAAGAAGCCTGGCTGAATCAAATGTGTACAGAGATTGGAGAAAACAACAGGAAAGACTCACATTCCATGTACCAACAGATAAATATGTTAACAGGAAAGATGACACGTAACAGCACTGGATGTTTGAAATCAAAAGATGGTGACTTATTAATGGGACATAGTAATATAATTAACAGATGGACAGCGTATATAGGGGAATTGTATGATGATAATAGACCAGATGTAGAACTACAGACCAACAATGATGGTCCACCAATAATGACTGCAGAAGTTGAGGACGCAATACATCATACGAAGAAAGGAAAAGCACATGGGCCAGACAACATCTCACTGGAAGAAATCGAAGCACTGGGAGATTTTGGAATTGAAATAATAACTAAACTTTTAAATGATATTTATAATAGTGGGTATATTCCAAATGACCTTTTAAAATCCATATTTATAGCTCTGCCTAAGAAACCAGGCACTATAAAATGTGAAGACCATCGCATAATAAGTCTTATGAGTCACATGACTAAGATTTTACTGAGAATAATTATGAGAAGAATAGGAAACAAAATTAAACCAGAAATCAGCTATGAACAATGTGGATTTGTAGAAGGAAAAGGTACAAACAATGCAATGAAAAACATCTTGTGCAATATATCCTTGTCATTGAGAGTTAGAAAAAAGAATTCTTGCTTGCTACATACATTCAGTTTTAACATATGGCTGTGAATCCTGGACAATCGGTAGGCAGGCCAAACAATTTCTTGAGGCCTCGGAGATGTGGTTTTACAGAAGAATGCTTGGAATTCCTTGGACAGCCAAAAAGAGCAACCAAGAGGTTTTGAAAGAGGCGGGAGCCCGAAGACAACTTATCACAGACATCAGAAGGAGACAGTCATCATTTTTCGGCCATGTTATGAGAAGAGGGAAAATAGAACATGTTGTGACCACTGGAAAGATATGTGGAAGGAGAGATAGAGGAAGACAACTAGAGAGGATGCTTGACAGTCTTGTTGCATGGCATGGAGGTGTGTCGGCACACGAACTGATACATGCTGCAGGAGATCGCGGATTGTGGAGAGGCATGATCGCCCACGCCAGTCGGCAATGCACCTGATGATGATGATGACCCACAGGTTGACAACCACTGTTCTAGATGAACACGAAATGACAATAGTCACTGCTATCCTCAAGCAGTGAATTCGATTTGGACACACCCTTACTTAATCGTTTTTAGGACACGCTTGTTAACCGGGGTGGGATGGTTTCAGTTGGTCTGTACGCCCCCACCCCCCACCCCTTTCCGCAACAAGAAGTATTGAAAACATGAGGTCCCTGCAACCCTCACAGACATCATGCTGTCAGCACAAATGAACATAAACGGCTACACTCACGTTCACACTCGGGCAAGGTGCCCGACCAGTCTCCATCGGCCTGGCATTCTCTGTACGGGGACATTCCCTGGAGTTCGAATCCCTCGTTGCAGTGATAAGTGACTCTGGTCGGATATGTAAATCTGTACCCGGGATCCCTCCATCCATTATTGATCTCGCCTGGGGCGCCGCAATCGCGAGCTGTGGACACAGACCACCAACTGTGATGACCTCAATGAATATTTATGAAACACTTATCAATAGAGGCTGGAAGACTATGCTTGCTTCAATAAAAGTACGTAACTGTCTGTTTAAGCTGGACAGAGGCTTCTAATGTCTGTATGAATGTTATGGTGGCATAATACTTCATTAGCTTATCAAGATAGAGGTTTTACATTTACTGTGACTTCTTTGTTGCCATTCAGATTCACAAAGCTGTTTAAAATAGAAATTGATTCAGCTTTTTCTCTATTTGTTGTTGTTGCTGCTACTGTTGTTGTTTGTTGTTGTTACTGCTGCTGTTGTTGTTGTTGTTTTTGTTGTCTTTCTTCTTCTTCTTCTTCTTTTTCTTCTTCTTCTTCTCCTCCTCCTCTTCTTCTTCTTCGTCTTCTTTTTCTACTTCTTTTTCTCCTCCTTCTCCTCCTCCTCATTCTTTTTGTGTTTCCGCTTCTCCTTTTCTGTTTCTCCTCCTCCATCACCCTCTTCCACCATCTTTTCCTTTTTCTTCTTCCATTCTCCTGTGCCCCTCCCTTCTTCCTTTCTCCTGTACCCCTCCCTTCTTTCCCTCACTTGACCCCAACACGTTCAAAGAGAATGTCTATACTTAGTTAAAAAGCACATCTGAACTCCCTTTGATAACTCATCCTACTTCTTGTCATAACTCATCCCACTTCTTGTCATAACTCATCCTACTTCTTGTCATAACTCATCCTACCTCTTGTCATAACTCATCCTACTTCTTGTCATAACTTACCCTACTTCTGGTTATAACTCATCCTACTTCTTGTCATAACTCATCCTACTTCTTGTCATAACTCATCCTACTTCTTGTCATAACTCACCCTACTTCTTGTCATAACTCATCCTACTTCTTGTCATAACTCACCCTACTTCTTGTTATAACTCATCCTATTTCTTGTCATAACTCATCCTACTTCTTGTCATAACTCATCCTACTTCTTATTATAACTCATCCTACTTCTTGTTTAACTCATCCTACGTCTTGTCATAACTCATCCTACTTCTTGTCATAACTCATCCTACTTCTTGTCATAACTCATCCTACTTCTTGTTACAACACTTTCTTTTTATTTGTCTTTTCAAGAAAAAAAAAGGGGGGGGGGGGGTTGCTAAAATGACCAGAGCCTACATATTACGGCGCTCCGGTGGTGATGTAGAACTGACATCTTCAGTGGTGATGTAGAACTGACACCTCTAGTGGTGATGTAGAACTGACACCTCTAGTGGTGATGTAGAACTGACACCTCTAGTGGTGATGTAGAACTGACACCTCTAGTGATGATGTAGAACTGACATCTCCAGTAGCGACACGACAAAACATTTCTGCACATACACGGCAAGGTCTGTGATTTTGAGATACCAACTTTCACGTGTTCGGCAACAGACGTTATCTGAGACAGGAACTTTCACGTCTTCGACAACAGACGTTATCTGAGACAGGAACTTTCACGTCTTCGACAACAGATGTTATCTGAGACAACAACTTTCTCGTGTTCGGCAACAGACGTTATCTGAGACAACAACTTTCACGTCTTCGGCAACAGACGTTGTCTGAGACAACAACTTTCACGTCTTCGACAACAGACGTTATCTGAGACAACAACTTTCTCGTGTTCGGCAACTGACGTTATCTGAGACAACAACTTTCACGTCTTCGACAACAGACGTTATCTGAGACAGCAAAGTCTTTGGGCGAAGTCCCTAACAAATGATCGCTCAAGGCCCATTCTGTGGCCAAACATCCCGGCTACAAATCTGATTTCCAATATGGCACATTAACGAGGCTACTTTGCCAGTTTTCTTTATCCGCTTTTTTCATCCACCCAAACAAGGGGGCGCCAAAACAAAAACACAAATGAAAAATGGCTATGGGATGGTGGATGGAGCGGGGCAAACACCAATTTCTAATTGTCTAAAGGTGGGGGTACTCAAGCAGATTAAACCTATTTTAAGTGTGCCATAATAATAATAATTATTATTATCATTATATGTATATATATATATATATATATATATATATATATATATATATATATATATATATATATATATATATAAATATATGCTAAATGGGAAAACAATATGATAGTACGTCTGAAATAATAAGAAAAAGTAAATAGTACGTCTGAAATAATAAGAAAAAGTAAACACACATTTTAAAGGAGTATTATGAAATATTTTAAAAGAGAACATCTATACATGGTTAGGGAACTACCTTGTTTCTTCCAAAATAAGACTGGGTCGTAAATTAAATTAAACTTACAAATATACAATAGTGCTCATTTTTTCGCAATTCGCTTTTTTATCCCTCAGGTACAGAAATCAGCATTTATTTATATTTTAAAAAATGCTACATTTGTTCAAATACAGTCATGTCATCTTCTTCTAAATTACTGAACGTGAAATTTTGCCCTTGAAAAAAAACCACAACAGACGAAAAATGCCCAGGTTGGTTCTGCAACGTTCTGTAAAGGATAAACAACTAAATCCAGAACATCAGCAAATCCCGACTTCAGGCCTGACATTTTAGCCCTTCTGTTCACAGAACCAGTGGTCACTGTCTCTCACTCTAGCTAATGGTTTCAATGAAGGTTTATTTTTTGAGTTAGAACTTATATTTTATTTTTCTCCTTTGTTTACAGGCTGTAAGCTCGAGCGGAAAGTCCTGGATGTTCGTCCATTTAGACTTGAGCTTTGTGCCAGGGCCTGAGTTGTCCGTGTAGATCCTGAACTCACACAGGGAAATAATGTCCAGTGCGCGCCTCAAGTATTTAATTTCGCTACTGCTGCACTCACTCTTGACAGAGTCGTTGCCATGTTGTCAGATGTGCTGGATATCTGTACATTTCGGCCCAACTTACCGATTTCAGAACATCCCTAATTAGTCGCCTTTTACGACATGCTTGTTAAGAAACAGCGGGTCTGTTTTTTTAATCTCTAAATAAAGGCGCCACGGAACACACACAGGGAGGTCCTCCGTGCTAAAGTAAAACACTTTCTAACCACAACTGACACACCACAGTGAAATCAGAAAGCTGCCTTTTCCCCTACACCAGCCCCGTGTGGGTTCCACAGCCAGTTTGGAAGAATAAAGAATACATCTTTTATTTCCTAACAAGCATGCCGTAAAAGGCGAACAGTTACGGCTATTTCCTTCAAAGTCGGAGTGCATCTGCATGAGAGGCAAAGCACCAAATTCTGCTTTCAAAGAATCCCGATCTTTAAAACGGATTTGCACACAAAACTCAGGTTGTGGATCAAAACCAAAGTCCGGGAGTGGACGAACAACCAGAACTTTCTGCAGAAGTTTACAGCCAGTGAACGCCAAGAAGACAAAGAGGAGAGAGGTGCCGCCCTGACCTTTGCAGCTCATATTAGGCCCGATCCATTGGCCCTCATTGGCACTGCACACAGTCTTGTCCACGCCCTCCTTGTGGTAGCCAAAGGAACAGGTGTAGGTAAGGTGCGTTCCTATGAGGAAGCGAAACTGGTCCTTGGGAGCATCATGCGCTGCGTTTTCTATGACAGGTGGAGGGCCGCAGACCACTAGGGCGTGTCGGAACAAGACAGAAAACACCAGTGTTAGTAGAACAATACGGCAACAACAACAACAACAGCAACAAAACTTGTGTGTTAGTAAACAGTTAAACACCACTTCGATTGGTGAACAGAAATACATACAACAATTGTTGCTATAGAATTTTGGTACTTTCCTGATATCTAACTACAAACAAACGAAATCCACAGGTCCCGGGAGAGTCTAATAATTGTATAGGGAAAGAAGCAGAATTTCTTCCTATAGTCCATGCCGTGTGACACTGGTAGTCATGTATATCCACAACCTTGTGTACTTTATTCAACTCTGACAATCATGACTGGCACTTTAGGTCACTGGGTGTCGGTCTCTCGTTCTGCGGTCCTGGTGAGATTATACGTCTGTCAGTCAGCCAGTTAGTTAGTCAGCCTCTCAGTCATTTAGTTAGCAGTCACTTCAGGGCACGACTGAAAATATCCCTTTCCCTAGCCAGCTCTCCGGCCCCATCTGCTTTCAGTGCCAGTGCCTCTTCAATGTCATGTATCCATCTTTGCAGTGGTCGACCCCTGCCTCGCCTTCCACAAACTGTACCCTCGTGCGGTCTTCTAGAGAAGATTATTTGAAATTACATATCGACAGAGGTTTGAACCTAAAGTCATCGGGGCCGCACAGGAAACTGTTGCCATTGCGCAACCAAGCGCCGCACTGGGTTATTAAACCAGAGAAAGAAAAAGAAATATACATTCAACAGAAATGAATTTTTTTTTTTAAAATCAGCAGGATATCTTTTATCGGAAATCATTAACAGGTAGACATCAGAATGCATGTGCCTTTTATCGGCAATCATTAACAGGTAGACATCAGAATGCATGTGCCTTTTATCGGCAATCATTAACAGGTAGACATTAGAATGTGTGTGCCTTTTATTGGGAATTATTAACAGATAAGACATCAGAATGTGTGTGCCTTTTATCGGCAATCATTAACTGGTAGACATCAGAATGTGTGTGCCTTTTATCGGCAATCATTAACAGGTAGACATTAGAATGTGTGTGCCTTTTATCGGCAATCATTACAGGTAGACATCAGAATGTATGTGCCTTTTATCGGCAATCATTAACAGGTAGACATCAGAATGCATGTGCCTTTTATCGGCAATCATTAACAGGTAGACATCAGAATGTGTGTGCCTTTTATTGGGAATCATTAACAGGTAGACATCAGAATGTGTGTGCCTTTTATCGGCAATCATTAACAGGTAGACATCAGAATGTGTGTGCCTTTTATCGGCAATCATTAACAGGTAGACATTAGAATGTGTGTGCCTTTTATCGGGAGTCATTAACAGGTAGACATCAGAATGTGTGTGGCTTTTATCGGCAATCATTAACAGGTAGACATCAGAATGTGTGTGCCTTATATCGAGAATTATTAAAAGGTAGACATCAGAATGTGTGCCTTTTATCGGAAGGTGTGTGCCTTTTATCGGCAATCATTAACAGGTAGACATCTGAGTGTGTGTGCCTTTTATCGGCAATTATTAACAGCCAGACATCAGAACGTGTGTGCATTTTATCAGCAATCATTAATAGGCAGATATCAGAATGTGTTTGCCTTTTGTCGGCAATCATTAACAGGTAGACATCAGAATGTGTGTGCCTTTTATCGGGAATCATTAACAGGTAGACATCAAAATGTGTGTGCCTTTTATTGGGAATCATTAACAGGTAGACATCTGAGTGTGTGTGCCTTTTATCGGCAATCATTAACATGTAGTTATCAGAATGTGTGTGCCTTTTATTGGGAATTATTAACAGGCAAACATCAGAATGTGTGTGTGCCTTTTATCGGGAATAATTAACAGCCAGACATCAAAATGAGTGTGCCTTTTATCGGCAATCATTAACAGGTAGACATCAGAATGCATGTGCCTTTTATCGGCAATCATTAACAGGTAGACATCAGAATATGTGTGCCTTTTATTGAGAATCATTAACAGGTTGACATCAGAATGTGTGTGCCTTTTATCAGCTATCATTAACAGGTAGACAATAGAACGTGTACCTTTTATCGGGAATAATTAACAGGCAGACATCAGAATGTGTGTGCCTTTTATCTGGAATCATTAACAGGCAGACATCAGAATGTGTGTGCCTTTTATCGGCAATCATTAACAGGTAGACATCTGAGTGTCTGTGCCTTTTATCTGCAATCATTAACATGTAGTTATCAGAATGTGTGTGCCTTTTATTGGGAATCATGAACAGGCAGACATCAGAATGTGTGTGCCTTTTATCGGCAATCATAAACATGTAGACATCAGAATGTGTGTGCCTTTTATCGGCAATCATTAACAGGCAGACATAAGAATGTGTGTGCCTTTTATTGGGAATCATTAACAGGCAGACATCAGAATGTGTGTGCCTTTTATTGGGAATCATTAACAGGTAGACAACAGAACGTGTACCTTTTATCGGAAATAATTAACAGGCAGACATCAGAATGTGTGTACCTTTTATCGGGAATCATTGACAGCCAGACCTCAGAATGTGTGTGCCTTTTATCGGCAATAATTAACAGGTAGACATCTGAGTGTGTGTGCCTTTTGTCGGCAATCATTAACAGGCAGACATAAGAATGTGTGTGCCTTTTATTGGGAATCATTAACAGGCAGACATTAGAATGTGTGTGCCTTTTATCGGGAACCATTAACAGCCAGACCTCAGAATGTGTGTGCCTTTTATCGGCAATAATTAACAGGTAGACATCTGAGTGTGTGTGCCTTTTATCGGCAATCATTAACATGTAGTTATCAGAATGTGTGTACCTTTTATTGGGAATCATTAACAGGCAGACATCAGAATGTGTGTGCCTTTCATCGGCAATCATTAACATGTAGTTATCAGAATGTGTGTGCCTTTTATTGGGAATCATTAACAGGCAGAAATCAGAATGTGTGTGCCTTTTATCGGCAATCATAAACATGTAGACATCAGAATGTGTGTGCCTTTTATCGGGAATCATTAACAGCCAGACATCAGAATGAGTGTGCCTTTTATCGGCAATCATAAACATGTAGACATCAGAATGTTTGTGCCTTTTATCGGCAATAATTAACAGGTAGACATCTGAGTGTGTGTGCCTTTTATCGGCAATCAATAACATGTAGTTATTAGAATGTGTGTGCCTTTTATCGGGAATCATCAACAGCCAGATATCAGAACGTGTGTGCCTTTTTATCAGCAATCATTAATAGGTAGACATCAGAATGTGCGTGCCTTTTTTCGGCAATCATTAACAGCCAGACATCAGAACGTGTGTGCTTTTTATCAGCAATCATTAATAGGCAGACAATACGCTTATTTATTGCCACGCAAAAAAAAAAAAAAAACAGTCTTCAGTTTGGACAGTCTACAGCTTACACAAGCATTACATGTATAAGACAGTCGTCAGTTTGGACAGTCTACAGCTTACACAAGCATTACATGTATAAGACAGTCGTCAGTCGTGACTGTTGCGAACACCGGCGACGGCGTCGCCCATTGGCTCGCTGGTAGACGACTTTATCGCCGGTCGGAACAGTATCTGGTCTGTCTTCTGTGATCTCATCAACGCCGCAGAAGTCCTTTCCTGGCAAGCGGGGGTGTGCAGTGACAAGCCATTTCATAAGGCGCGCATAACCTAGCCACAATTATAATCTAAAGCTTTTCCTCCATAGATGCTGGTTGAATGTGACGATTTGTTCCCCATCAAAGAACCAAGCACTGACTGTTCCGGATAGTACATCAATGTCATCGTATAAGTATTCAAAAACACATACCCTGTTGGCAGCTGGGTTCCCGCCCGTCCCAGGTGCCATCTTTCAAGCAAGCTCTCTCAGAGCTGCCAACTAGAAAGTACGTGGGCTCGCACGTGTACTTCACTCGACTGCCCACAATGTTCTGGGCTGGCAGCTCCAAACGCCCATTGGCGATTTTAGGAGGCGAGCTACATCCTGAAGCTGAGGACCAATTAAATCATAGAAAAATCAATCAATCAATCAGGTGAGGAGCAAAAGCTTGAGGTCTTCGAATGCTGAAGATCAGAGTTCGAATCATAGTTAAGGTGACGGACGTTTTATTTTCTTCTGTCTGAGGCAAAGGTTAGCATCGTAATCTGTGCAGTATTTTTTGTTGTTGCGATCACACTAACACTGAAATCTTCAGGTCAGGACCACCTTGTTCTAAACAACCGTAAAATGTGGTACTATAGTCCGTTTCAAAAGTCGTTGACAAGTTGAACAAAACAAGATGTAAGGCAGCTACCGTGGCTTGTAAGCTGTTGAGACTTGGCAGGGTGCCTCGTAATGAACATGTCCGTGATGCAAACAGAAACCAAGAATCGCGATATCATTTACTTACTACAGAATGAGTTATTTCACAAAAAAATACATTGGTTAATGTGTACCTAATAAACTCGTGCATATAGTTAATGTGTACCCAATGATCTCGTGCATAGAGTTTATGTGTACCCAATGAACCCGTGCATAGAGTTTATGTGTACCCAATAAACTCGTGCGTATAGTTAATGTGTACCCGATGATCTCGTGCATATAATTAATGTGCACCCAATGAACTCGTGCATATAGTTATTATGTACCCAGTGAACTCGTGCATATAGCTAATGTGTACCCAATGAACTCGTGCATATAGTTAATGTGTACCCGATGAACTCGTGCATACAGTTAATGTGTACCTGATAAACTCGTGCATAAAGGTAATGTGTACCCAATGAACTCGTGCATATAATTAATGTTTACCCGATAAACGCGTGCATATATTTAATGTGTACCCGAGAAACTCGTGCATATAGTTAATGTGTACCCAATGAACTCGTGCCTATAGTTAATCAGACTATACAGGGTCACCTCAACTTGCGACAGAGTTATGTTCCGACTAACTGATCCATATATGGCAAGTGACTTGCCATAAATAAACGTATAGTTGAAGTTTAAATTAATTCTATGTAATATAAACCAAAAGTGTACCCCCTCTACACCACCCCCTTCCCCCACCCACCAGGTTTTGTTTTTGATTTGCCAGGAAAATACATATCCATTAACATTTCATTTCTGTGAGTGGTTGCCATAAGGGCACCAGCACAATAGTTTGCCAAGGGGCCTGTAATTTTGTTCAGACAGCCCTGGTCGTAAGTGCGGACGGCTGTAAGCTGCAAAAATCGTTAAGTGGAGGAGAATTTGTGTATGTATGCAGACACGAAAGCAGAGACAAGCTGACCAACAACTTACAGCTGCAAGTCATGTTGGGTCCGACCCAGACCCCTCCACTGACACACCAGGCGTTGACCACGCTATCCTTGTGCTGGACGAAGCCAGGCAGGCAGGTATACCTCAGGTTGGTGCCCAGGCTGAACCGGATCTGGTACGTCTTGCCGCTGTGGACCGCGTTAGGGATCACGGGAGAAGGTCCGCAGTCTTGGTTGTGGCCTGCAATAAGTCAACATTAAAGTCAGACCGGATGGTAGGAATTCAAGGGGAGAGAAGCAACAAGAGAAATGTCTTGGCAATTGTTTGTATCAATTCACACAGCATGTTGAGATAGGTCAAAACAGGCATGCTTCGTGCAGAGTGGCAAAACATTACTTCAGAGGTCCCGGGTGGTTAGCATCCTTTGGATATTTTCTACAGGTCATGCCAGGGTGTAGAGAAATGAGCAGGCAGATAGACTGGCTGGCTATGCACCACTTAGTGGTGAACAGATGTATGATGGTGCTACAGTGAACATGGTATCAAGAGTAATAAGACAGACCTGATGGCACTACAGTGGACATGATATCAACAGTGATAAGACAGAGCTGATGTGCTAAAGTGGACATGATATCAACAGTGATAAGACAGAGCTGATGGCGCTACAGTGGACATGATATCAACAGTGATAAGACAGAGCTGATGGCGCTACAGTGGACATGATATCAACAGTGATAAGACAGAGCTGATGTGCTAAAGTGGACATGATATCAACAGTGATAAGAGAGAGCTGATGGTGCTACAGTAAACATGGAATCTGCAGTGATAAGACAGAGCTGATAGCGCTACAGTGGACATGATATCAACAGTGATAAGACAGAGCTGATGGCACTACAGTGGACATGATATCAACAGTGATAAGACAGACCTGATGGCACTACAGTGGACATGATATCAACAGTGATAAGAGAGAGCTGATGGTGCTACAGTGGACATGGTATCAACAGTGATAAGACAGAGCTGATGGCACTACAGTGGACATGATACCAACAGTGATAAGACAGAGCTGATAGCGCTACAGTGGACATGATACCAACAGTGATAAGACAGAGCTGATGGCACTACAGTGGACATGATATCAACAGTGATAAGACAGAGCTGATAGCGCTACAGTGGACATGATACCAACAGTGATAAGACAGAGCTGATGGCACTACAGTGGACATGATATCAACAGTGATAAGACAGAGCTGATGGTGCTACAGTGGACATGATATCAACAGTGATAAGACAGAGCTGATAGCGCTACAGTGGACATGATATCAACAGTGATAAGACAGAGCTGATGGCACTACAGTGGACATGATATCAACAGTGATAAGACAGAGCTGATAGCGCTACAGTGGACATGATATCAACAGTGATAAGACAGAGCTGATAGCGCTACAGTGGACATGATATCAACAGTGATAAGACAGAGCTGATAGCGCTACAGTGGACATGATATCAACAGTGATAAGACAGAGCTGATAGCGCTACAGTGGACATGATATCAACAGTGATAAGACAGAGCTGATAGCGCTACAGTGGACATGATATCAACAGTGATAAGACAGAGCTGATGGCACTACAGTGGACATGATATCAACAGTGATAAGACAGAGCTGATAGCGCTACAGTGGACATGATATCAACAGTGATAAGACAGAGCTGATAGCGCTACAGTGGACATGATATCAACAGTGATAAGACAGAGCTGATAGCGCTACAGTGGACATGATATCAACAGTGATAAGACAGAGCTGATAGCGCTACAGTGGACATGATATCAACAGTGATAAGACAGAGCTGATAGCGCTACAGTGGACATGATATCAACAGTGATAAGACAGAGCTGATGGTGCTAAAGTGGACATGATACCAACAGTGATAAGACAGAGCTGATAGCGCTACAGTGGACATGGAATCTACAGTGATAAGACAGAGCTGATGGTGCTACAGTGAACATGGAATCTACAGTGATAAGACAGAGCTGATGGTGCTACAGTGAACATGGAATCTACAGTGATAAGACAGAGCTGATGGTGCTACAGTGAACATGGTATCAAGAGTAATAAGACAGAGCTGATGGCGCTACAGTGGACATGATACCAACAGTGATAAGACAGAGCTGATGGTGCTACAGTGAACATGGAATCTACAGTGATAAGACAGAGCTGATGGTGCTACAGTGGACACATCCTGAGAAGAGACCAACAGAGAATCATTAAACAGGTACTGCAACTGGAAATAAATGGATTGAGGAAATAGGGACATCATCATCATAATCAAGTGCGCTGCCAACAGGGGTGAGCGATCATGCCTCTCCACAATCTGTGATCCGCAACGGCCTGTATTAGTTCGAGTGTTGTATCTCCTCCACGCTATGACAAAACACTGTCTTCCTCTGTCTCTTTTTCCACAGATCTTTTCAGTGGTCACACCATGTTTCAATGTTCCTCTTCTCATTACATCACTAAACAAATGATAACTATCTTTCTGTTGTTTGTGATAAGTTGTCTTCGAGCCCTCGCCTATTTCAAAACATCTCGGTTGTACTGTTTAGCTGTCCACGGAATTATAAAGATTCTTCTGTAAAACCACACATCCGATGCCTCAAGATAATGTTCAACTTGTTTATTAATTGTCCAGGATTCACAGCCGATTGTTAAAACTGGCCCTACATGGCATGTAAGATTTGTTTCCCCAACCTCCAGTGACTTGGGTTTATTGAACAAAATGTTCTTCATTTGATAAAATGCACGTTTGGCCTGTTCTTTTCTATTCTTTATCTCTGTGAAACGTCTTCCATCGGATGTTATTCATGTGCCGAGATACTTAAATTAATGTACTTGTCCTAAAATAACGCCTTTACTTTTATTACACAATTCTACAATTTTCTTGGAAATCACCATTTGTTTTGTCTTTCTATTATTGAAACTGAGGCTGTAAGCAACAACAACTTGGCAAATTAAAAGTGAAAACAGAGACATATCTGGGTGTGAAAACAGAGACATATCTGGGTGTGAACAAAGAGACATTTCTGGGTGTGAACAAAAAGACATATCTGGGTGTGAACAAAAAGACGTATCTGGGTGTGAACAAAAAGACATATCTGGGTGTGAACAAAGAGACATATCTGGGTGTGAACAAAAAGACATATCTGGGTGTGAACAAAAAGACAAATCTGGGTGTGAACAAAAAGACATATCTGGGTGTGAACAAAAAGACATATCTGGGTGTGAACAAAAAGACATATCTGGGTGTGAACAAAGAGACATATCTGGGTGTGAACAAAAAGACATATCTGGGTATGAACAAAAAGACATATCTGGGTGTGAACAAAAAGACATATCTGTGTGTGAAAACAGAAACATATCTGGGCGCGAAGTAAGAGACATACCTGGGTGTGAACAAAGAGGCATATCTGGGTGTGAACAAAGAGACATATCTGGGTGTAAAGAAAGAGACATATTTGCGTGTGAAAATGAGACATATATGGGTGTGAACAAAGAGACATATCTGGATGTGAACAAAGAGACATATATGGGTGTGAACAAAGAGACATATATGGGTGTAAACAAAGAGACATATATGGGTGTGAACAAAGAGACATATATGGGTGTGAACAAAGAGACATATATGGGTGTGAACAAAGAGACATATATGGGTGTGAACAAAGAGACATATCTGGGTGTGAACAAAGAGACATATATGGGTGTGAACAAAGAGACATATATGGGTGTGAACAAAGAGACATATCTGGGTGTGAACAAAGAGACATATATGGGTGTGAACAAAGAGACATATATGGGGGTGAACAAAGAGACATATCTGGGTGTGAACAAAAAGACATATATGGGTGTGAACAAAGAGACATTTCTGGGTGTGAATAAAGATACATATCTGGGTGTGAACAAAGCGACATATCTGGGTGTGAACAAAGAGACATATATGGGTGTGAACAAAGAGACATTTCTGGGTGTGAATAAAGATACATATCTGGGTGTGAACAATGCGACATATCTGGGTGTGAATAAAAGACATATCTGGGTGTGAACAAAGAGACATATCTGGGTGTGAACAAAGAGACATATCTGGGTGTGAACAATGAGGCATATCTGGGTGTGAACAAAGAGACATATCTGGGTGTAAAGAAAGAGACATATCTGGGTGTGAACAAAGAGACATATCTGGGTGTAAACAAAGAGACATATCTGGGTGTGAACAAGTTCAGGCGGCCGACATGAAGTTGACCACATAAGTGACCTAGTGCCAGTAGGGTTCTAGAAATGTGGCTCTGACATGATACGTTGGATGGTTCCCATGCGTAAACAGAGTTGTTTACTTTGCTGACTTCTACTAGTGCCAATTGTATAACGCTGATCAAGATAATTGGGGGGGGGGGGGGGGTGGTGAAACTGATAAAGCTTTAATGATAACGATGATGTTCACGAGAACGATGATGACAGCGATGATGATGATTGAGATGAAGATGACAAATGATGATTGCTACAACGATGATGATGGTGATGATAATGATTATCATCATGATTATACGATGATGCTGGTGAATGTGATGATGATGATGTTAATGAGGACGAGGACGATGATAATCGTAATGCTGATGAGGATGATGATGATGGTGAGGCCAACAATATGATAATGATGACGATAAGGATTATGAATACTATTACGACGGGGATGATGATATGAT